GCTGCCGTATGTCGCACGGCGTGGGCTTGCAGCAGAATGCTCTCAAGTCGTCGCCTCATGCTTCGCTGGGAGGCTTCCCGGTGGAGAAGTACATGGACGTGTCGGGCCTGGCAAGCGGCAGCGTACCAGCCAACGAAGTGCCCACGCGAGCCAAGGAGGTGTCCTTCTACCAGGGCTACACGAGCCCCTACCAACACGTGCCTGGCTATATCGACATGGTGTCCACCTTCGGTTCCGGCGAGCCTCGACACGAGGCGTACATCTCCATGGAGGGCTACCAGTCCTGGACGCTGGCCAACGGGTGGAACAGCCAGGTGTACTGTGCTAAAGACCAGCCACAGGGCTCCCACTTTTGGAAATCGTCCTTTCCAGGTAGGGGCGATGGAGAAAAGAGGAGGACACAAGGGAAGGGGAGAGAGTGAGAAAAGAAAGGTTGAGGCTTGTTTGGCCCTACTTGGGAGTGGGCGCGTCGCTGGGGTTAACCCGGGTGGAACCGTTTGTACAGTCCTTATGAAATCTTGTAAATCTTTCTTTGATTTAAACTGCCATTCTCACATGTTCCTTCCAATGTGCAGTGCAGGCACATTTTTTTCCACTAAAATTGAGGTTCTTTGCATGTCCTTTGCTCAGGTCCTTTTCTCCTAAAGAGGACTTTTTTCTAAGTGGTGTGACAGCGTTGGGCCTCTACTTTTCAAGGGCATGATTGGCCCAGGGTGACCACTTAAGATTCTTAGAGCCCACAAGTTCAAACACAGAAACCCAGGAAATCAAAGCTTGAGCTAAAGACCTGAATTTGTGTGTGTGTGTGTGTGTGTGTGCAACCAGCATTTGCAGAAACTGTCCTTATGAGTGTCTCCAATAGCCATGCCATAAAATCGCAGGCTTGTTAAGATGCCGGTTTGAGGAACCATGCTGATCCATCAAATTAGCCTTTGTTTTTAAGTGCAAACAATCTTTCTTTAGTAATATGTCTGTGTAAATAATAATAAAGTATAAACAGCCTGGTTTTCTTTATTTTCTGCACCTCCTCAAAACACACACACACACACACACACACACACACACACACACACAGCAAGGTGCTCCAAATATTCCAACCTAATCTTTCCCATACTGTTGTTTGTACCAGGGGATGTGGCTCTAAATCAGCCAGACATGTGTGTCTACCGTCGGGGGAGGAAGAAGAGGGTGCCCTACACCAAACTGCAGCTCAAAGAACTGGAGAACGAGTATGCCATTAACAAGTTCATTAACAAGGACAAGAGGCGGCGGATCTCAGCTGCCACGAACCTATCTGAGAGACAAGTGACCATTTGGTTTCAGAACCGAAGAGTGAAGGACAAGAAAATTGTCTCCAAACTCAAGGATACTGTCTCCTGATGTGTGGCTACAGTCTAAATGCCTTCATTTGTCTCCAAAAGACTTTTAGAAAGACTTGAATATGTATTTAATTCCCCTCATCCCATGCCAGTGATGGCGAATTTTGTGAATTGTTTTTCTCTCTTCCCCTTCTCTGGCTTTTGCTGCCCAACCTGACTTTGTAATTCTGTTTCTTACTTGTTTATCATTGGTTTCATTCATGTCTAGGTTTAATTTTTAATGTTTTTGAATGTTCTGTTTCTCCCTCCAGGCCAGTATAAAGGACTTGAAGTATTTTTGAATAACCTCCCCCAAATGAATTTCAGAAGTGACATTCTGACTTAAGAGTTTTATTTTTAAAAAATCACGTTATCTCTTTCCAGCACTGACTACCTTCATAATCCGTTAGAGCAGAACGATTTGGAGCCATTCATATCCTGTGATTGGGTAATTGAATCATTAGCTCTCAGCAGTTGCCTTGAGGCAAGTGGAAACAGCTCTAGGCAGGCAGTGCTCTGGGGTCACGGGGAAAGTCTGAGAACAAGAGACCGAAGGTACTGTGATGGCTTTAAAAGTGGGTTACCTTATGAAATAGGGTTTTAGTCACTGTTGGAATGAAGACAATCTTGCCGGCTTTGAGTCTTTCACTTGCTGCTTTAGCTGTATATTTTAATACATCCTTGTAGATTTGTACTTTTATAATCATCATCAGCGTGTCCTCATGGATGCCTTTATTTCATGAGCTGTAAATGCAGACATTTAAATGGCTCCAATTGACAAAGTGATCCCTGAGTGATAGAAATGTACCCCTTTCCTTGGCCTTGAGTCTGTGGGACTGAGACTGAGATAGTCTCTCGGTCCCTTGGAAAGAGGCTGAATCAATGTGGCCATGGTTGGGAACTTTTATCAAGAACCCAGTGAAGAGCTTTACTGCCTGAACTAATGCATTGGGTCTCTCGTGGAGCTTTAAAACATCTAACAAAGACAAAAAATATGGAGCTGTGAGATCCAAGAGAGAAAAACACAAGACGTTTCTGAAAGTGATGAAACATAACTACTTTTAAAGTACCGCATATTTATACAACTGAGAGATTATTTTTGTAGATGCAATGTCTGTGAGCTGAAAGATATGAGTAGTGCTTCAGGCATTTAAAAATCACTTTTTACTCCTAGGGAGATGCAAATAAACAGAACTCTCTGGTTTCCTGTTAGTCTTTATGTATTTGTTTTCTTTTTACAAGCTTGTGTTACTTCTAGAAACTCTTCTTATTTATTATAAAATCTTGCTATCCTGAACATTATGATGTTCGCTATAGATGAAGAAAATGAAACTCCAGTTCTAGTCTCCACGCTCTCCATTCCTGCCCCCCCCTTCTTGCCTTTCCACTGTGACTTCAACCTAAGTAGTGATATCTTTAAATAAGGATATAATTGGTGGTGTCTAACATGATATTTTTTTTATCAGATTCACCCTCAAAAAACTCCAATAAAATTGTACTTCTCTTTGAATAGTATCCATTTATTTAAATAGGTTTATTCATTTTTTTTAAATTAATGTGTACCTGGGTATAATACTTGCTCCCTTGGATGCTTTAAACCTAGAAAGGCATTATAAATATCTGCACTAGAAAGGTCTTGAAATTAGACATATCCATATTTGGCCATCGAAAAAGAAACATCTCAAGCTTATCCTGTATCACTGTCTCTGGGCAATGTGCACACATCATTCGACAACTGAAAACAATTACACATCCTAAACGTCTAGATACAACTTTCAGGCACCACGAACTTTCTTTTTGAGGACTTTTTGCCACTGAGGGAAATGGCCGCTGAGGACCTGTGTGACTCTGGCTTCTTAGCTCCTAGCACAATTTAGAGGTTGCTAACGTTTGATGTGCAAATTAGTTAAATATCTTTTTTCTTTCTTTCTTTTTTTTTTTTTTTTTTTTTTTTTTTTTACTACCGCACACAAATGTAAATTCTTCTGGTAAAGACCTTCCTTACAGCTCCGCCAGAGAAAGCGCCAAGACCTAAAGTCGGGAGCTACTTTCGTTTTCTCTGGCCCAGTTCGATTTCGTTCGTATCTTCCTGCCGGCAGCAAACGGTCAGCTAGGTTTTGAGGGACAGAGAGAGGCAGAGACAGAGAACCTGGAGAAGAATTAACCCCCTGAAAACGGGGCCACATTGTCCCCGACCTTACACTTGGAGAAGTCACTAACATTTTCGCTGTCTCCTGGCGGACGTGTTTTCATCAGAAATGGGCCTGCTTTTTCCTTTTCGCACATCGCCGGCCCTCCCCCTACTGCACTTCTCTTTTAAGTTCCACACTTCGGGGCCGTGCTCCATTTCCCAGGCCCATTTCTCAGTTTTCCCATCGCGCTGAGGGGGGACGCTAGATTTTCTTTTCATCTGTAGTTTGCACTTCGGTTTCCCTCCGTCTAAAAGAAAAATAGGAGGTTTGCTGAAGATGAAAAAACGGCGCTCAAACGCTCTCCAGTGGAATTTGGATTGACGGCTAAATCAATAACAGATGAAGGCTTTGTTATTTATATGCGTTCCTTTTATATCCCGAATTGCGGAGAGAAGAGCTGGTAAGTGGTAAAGACGCTGGCAGGACGGCCCCGCGGGGAGCCCATAAGCGAAGGGAGCTTGGAGAGAGGCCTTTCCCTGGGCTGGAGGCTGAGAGGCCACCAGGAGAGAACCTCACCAGCCGGGCAGGTTTTTAACACCGCGGATGCGGGATGGAGGCCCGCGCGTTTACACGAGGGCCAGAGGTGAAGGAAGCGCTGGAGCCGGGACGCAAGGCCAGACAAAGGGGCGATCGCAACGCTTCCTCACGTCTGGCAGCCCGCTGTGTCCCTCCGGCTCTGCTGTCCAGGTCAGCCTTGCTGCCACAATCTGGCTTTCTGAGGCTCTCGGCCGCGCCTGGCAGCGGGCGGTGACCGCGCGGACTGGCGACCCCAGGCCGGCCGCACCGCCCTTCACTGTTGATCTTGACCGTGCGGCGGCGCCTCGCCAGGCGTGGAGCGCGCTCGCCATCTCCTGGGCGGTCGGCGGCATTGGCAGAGCTCGCCATTCAGCTCCTGCGCGGAATCCTCCTTTACCATTCCCTCGCTCACCAGCCAAGCCTCCCCCACTTCGCCCCTCCCTCCTGGGCCCCAACTCCCGCTCCACGCAGAAGGCTTTGCCCGCCAGACCTTGAAAGTCATAAACCCATGGGATAAAGTGAGGGGGCTGGGCAAGGAGCAATGGAGGCAGCCTAGGGGTTTTAGTCCTTTCTGTTTCTGCCTTAATTCCTTATGCCTTTAATCCTCAGGGGCAAACAGCCGGTAAAAGGCTGCCCAAGGGTCCGAAGGAGACACCCCTGGGCTCAGAAGTACTGGGGAGTTCCTGTGTGCTGAGATGGCAAGAGCGGAGCCTTTAGGGACTACTAGAATGAGAGCTTTAGGGTCTGAGGAAGCTGCAAATCCTCAAAAGCAAGACTGGTTCCCCCAAAATGAAAGTTACCCAGACCTGAGGCCTGGATACCCTGAAGTCTGCATGAACTGAGGTTGCAGCTTGTGTCCATCCCCACATCCCCTGAATGGACAGAGAACAGAGAATCGAAGGCGTCTTTCTGCGCCTGAGCTCCTAAGGAAACTGGCAGAGCCTGAGGAGCCCAGAACTTCCCCACCCCCACCGCCCCACCCCACCCCCCGCGCTAGAGCTGGAGGAAGAGGCCATTGCGTTCCCCAGAGCCGCCCAATTGGTCGCTATAACTCACACAATAAAGTCGCAGCGCGGTGGTCAGCCTTGCCCTCCGGCGGCGCCTGTGTGGTCTCTGGGCCCAGAGCTGGGGCTCTAACCAATTCCAGCTTGGCTCGGGGACCGCGAGGCCTGCTGCAGGCTGGTTAGGCGCCCGTCACCGGGTCTTTGGGGATCTTGGGGTCTGAGGCAGGAGCAGGACCCCTAGTCGTCTCGCCAGACTAGACTGGAGACGGGGGCCGTGGTGGTGGTGGGGGTGGGGGTGCGTTCTGCTCCCTGCCAGGGACCGCTGCCCTTCTCACACTCCTATTCGCCAGACCTGAGAACCCGCCAGCCCCAGGCCTCTAGAGGCGCTGAGGCAAGAGACCAGGCTAGTTGGCTGCCGCGGTGCGACCGCCTTTCCCTGGCCAGGTGGCTATGGCTCTTCTACCTTCCCCCTGCCCCGGGTCGGAGATTTCATTCTGCTCTGCTTGCCAAGGGGTGGATGGACACCCTGGAGTTCTGGTTTGCAAGGTGTAGTCGCCAAGGTGACTCCTGGCCACCGAGAAGGAATGCAGTCTTTAGCCAAGATTGGTGAACTGAGCTGCCAAAATTCTCCATGGACCTGGATGGCAACTTCCCGGGGAGCGGAGTCCCTGGTCAAGGATGCACATACCAGGAGCGATGTGAAGCCGCCCCCCCGCCCCCCAGGCGCCAAACTTGGGCAGAGTTTGTGATGCCTTTCTCCAGTTTTGCAGACCTCTGGGGCTGTGCCTGCCGCCTCGGACGGAGGGCTCATGCAGTGAGTGGGTCTTTGCTGCCAGTTCCTTCCAGGGACAGGCCTCTGGAGAAAGCCTTTTTTGGAAGGGACTGGAGTAGGAGTGGCATTGCTTAGGCCTAGAGACTGCACTGGTGACCAAGCCAGACCTCGACCTCTCCGGATAAGCCACCGAGTGAAAAATACCTACTGGAAAAAGTCTCAGCTGCAACTTAACAGCCTTCAGGAGCAAGCCGAACCCAAGTAGCCTGTGAAAACTTTATCGCAAAGCCAGTCAAGACGAGGAAGGGTCCCAAGGGACACTTGGGCAAATGCACCCTCTGCCCAATGCCCCTAACCCCTGAGGCCGGGACTGAAAATTAGAAGGGGCTTCGCCCTCGCTCAATATGCTTTGGCTCTGCCGTGAGCCTCGTCCTTCGCCATCGAACATTGCGGGTGTTATCATAATACCCTGAAGGGGGGGAAACGGGTCGGGGGATGTAGGCGGTGCTGAAATGACCGGCTTTGAAGAACCTGCAGGCAAAGTTTCGTCCAATCGTCTGAGCCTGTCCGCTTATTCCCGGTTGTAACTAAATACTGTTGCGAGCGCAGCCGAAGCCCTTTGTTGGAGATGTGTGAGCGCAGTCTGTACAGAGCGGGCTATGTGGGCTCGCTTTTGAATCT